TTTGATTATGTGCAATTCTTGCCCTAACCTCCGACTTCTGAGCCCAGCCCCTTTACCAGACCTGATTCTACATCCTACCTTGAGTGGATACTCCCAGGGCTCATTGCATTTTTGCCCTCTGCTGCGGTTGGCTCTGAATTCTAAGACACAACCCAGGCCCCTTCTTGCCAACTGTGCCCACTGCTTTTGCCAGAGACCTGACTAAAGAGACATTCAGCTAGGGAGCTGAGAGCAAACTTGGTAGGGTCTCAGTTCATGTGCCTAAGTTATTCAAGTGTGCCCCAGCTTTGTACATCACCTTGGGCACATCACTGACCTTCGTTTGTCAAATGTTAGACTATCTGAGGTCACAGAAGTCTGGTTCTAGACTGAGTACACAGCTTACTTATACGTATCAGATCCCTCACAAAAGAACTGTGGTGAATCTTACTAAATTGAACTGTCCATGACTTAGCTTTTGTGTTCGCATGTTTTCTCATGCCAGTTCTACATAAATGCAGTGGCATATTCTGTCAATTCTCCTATTACTCAGTTTGCTCTGCCTTTGCCATTGTGGATAAAGACTGTATTAAGGGGTTTCCCACCCAGCTGGGACTGACTTTGTCAGGAGTAGCATGCTAAGGGGGTACAGACCTTCCTGGGGAGGCGGATGACACACGCTCTCCACTGGCTCACGCCCTACTTCCTTGCCTCCCACAGCCAACGCGGAGGACTTTTTCTATACGTCACAAGGGGGAAACACGTCCATCGAGGGTGTGGATGATGCTGAGGACTTTGAAAAGACACGGCAAGCCTTCGCACTCCTTGGTAAGACGCCTCTAAGTGGGAGAAGCAGACCCCAAGGGCTGACGGTCCTGGAGGTAGAAAGCAAGGTCGTGGCCCCTTTGCTTGCCACCTGCATGGGCTATAAGGGACACCCTGCTGCCCTTGGTGAACATTGTCTTACTCTCTTGTTTATCCCAACCTTCAGGCTCCCAAGCATAAAGTTGGGAGCTTTACTGCCCTTTCTTAAAAATACAGTTTTGATAGCCCTTCTCCCAGGCGGTGGGAAGGGTTCCCTTCTTACCTGCTCAGGCCATGGGAAAAGCAAGTGTGGTGAAGTTTCTTTTGCAGTGGTCTGGATGCACAGACAGCAAGCTTTAGTAGAAAGGATGCTCCATTGGGATCAAACCACCAGGGAACACAATCACGAGGTCAGACTTGGAAGCAGAGCATAATAGTCTGGTAGCTTTGTAGCCCACACAGTGTTGATTCTCTTGGCTATTCCCGCTTACAGCATGGCATTGGAGCCCTGAAAACAAGAACTTCTCTCTGCCCTTTAGGGCCAAGAGGCAATAGAAGAGCTGAAGAAAATTGTCCCTTTCCCCTGCCAGTTTCGGGGGAGAAGAGCCCCCAAGTGGCAAGGTGGAGGGATAACCCTTCTTAATTGGGAAGATGAAGTGTTGACCCGGAGTCAGAAAAAGGAAAGCTCGAGAAGTCAGTCTGAATCCCAAGAAGTGGCTCAGGGTGGCCCTTTTGTCTTCCTCAACCCTTCCCAGTCAGAGACAGAAGATTCGGCTTCTGAGCCTTGTGACTAACGCTGAGCAGCATACCTTAGGTTCTTTGTTGGGGTCAGGGAAGGCCTATCCATTATCCAAATAAAAGACACACCCTAATCTCTGAATGGGGAGGAAACCAGGCCCTCCCGTGCAAGATCCCAGTGCTGGTAGGTGGTGCATAGATAGATAGGGTTAGTCTTTTGTAGCT